GACTTGGGCGCTTGGGGCTTGGGCCCAATCATTATATATCTTTTTGCTGCAAATTTATTTGCAACTTTAGGCCCAAATGAAAAATCCAATTCTAGTTGGATTTGGACTCCGTTTTGACCCTCTCCAGGTACAATGAACATGGACATGTGACCTTTCATGTGGAAAGTGACTGTTCAGGTGGATGTTAATGGCTGTTTAATGGCCTTAACACCTGGCTAATGGTGTAGTAACACCTGGTTAATGGTGTAGTAACACCTGAATGATTTTACTGCCCATTATCTCTGCCTTAAGTGGCAGATGTGACTTCTGGCTTCCCTCAAGATGTGGAAGTCCTATAAATAAGACTTAGAGGTGCAGAGAACATACACAACATTTCATGCAATCTGATACTCTCAAAGCCTCATGCATCATATCATAGTTCTCGGTTCTCAACTTCATTCTTGTTCGACTGGACTCTGAAGGCTGGTGTGCTACAGCTTCCGAGTATTAAAGCCGTTGTATCTTTGGGGACATTACGCACTGACCCGTCAGCACTACACGGGGCGTATTTGTCTTGCGGATAGATTTCAATCGCCTCGGCTCAAATCTCTCCGCGTTCGAGTTGTAATTTAATTTTTTTGTTTTAGTTCTTTTGTGCGAAATGAATACTTCAGTCAGTTCATAGGTTCCCGTTGTAATACAAAACACAAGTTGTGTAACACAAGAAAGGCTTTGCAAAAGAGATGAAGAAGATTGGGTATATAAGGCATCAGAATATAGTTCCTTTACGGGCGTATTATTGGGGGCCGAGAGAACAAGAGAGGCTTATCTTGGCGGACTATGTGTTGGGTGACAGCTTGGCCTTGCATCTATACGGTAAGGTCACTCCAAATACGACGTACATTATTGCGCATATCCGTTGACATGTTTCTATTTTCACAAAATTACACCCTATTGTTGATGAATTTGCAAACACAACCCTAAATTTGAGGAAAAAATTGAATCGTGTGATAATCTATGGGTAACGTTTGTAATTATTCCTAGGCATTTTATTTTTACATGGGGCGATATGTTCATAAGTCGGGTTAGTCGTGCAACATATTCTTGGTATACTCTTTTTCATCCGAGCTTTTTTTTGGTAAACTAACGATCCACTTTCCCGTCAAGTTAGTTTCTATAATTCACTTGCTACGGTCATGGGGTTTTCCACGACGGATGATAAAAAAAAAATATTAAATCCATTTCTGTTTGGCGAATATTCAACAGTTCCCATTATCGTTCAACCAAAGACTGACTGTGGCCACCGACATTGCTCGTTGCCTTCTGTTCCTTCACGACCGGGGCCTTCCCCATGGGAACCTAAAGCCCACAAACATAATCCTGTGTGGCCCAAACTACACCGTTCAGCTCACAGACTACGGGCTTCACCGCCTGATGACTCGTGCAGGAATTGCCGAGCAGATCTTGAATCTTGGGGGCCCTCGGTTACCGGGTGCCTGAGCTAGCCAGTGCAGCCCGGCCCGTACCATCGTTCAAGGCCGATGGTTATGCGTTCGGCGTGATCCTGATGGAGCTGGCTGACAAGAAAAAGTGCTGGTGACATCATCTCTGGCCAATCAGGAGCCGTTGATTAGACTGATTGGGTGAGATTGTGCAATCAGGAGGGACGGGGATTGGATTGCATAGACAGGGATATTGCTGGTGGGGAAGAAGAACATACGAAAGCCATGGATGACTTGCTCGAGGTTTCTTTATGTTGCGTTCTGCCGGTAAACGAGCGGCCTAACATTAGGCAGATTCTGGACGAGGTGTGTTTGGTATCTCCTGTGTGAAGAAACTTGTATATGTTGTTGTTTTCCCTTTGGGGAAAATCCAATTCTTTAATGTGACTTGGTTGGTTGGTTCATTGGATTTTTTTATTTTTTTATTTTTGGGAATTTTTGTTGGGTATTGGTGTTGTTGCCTTCAAATTGGGGCTCTAACTACAGATATGTTAAGTTCCTTACCCCCTTCAATTTTTGTGTAAAGGGATGTTTAGTTCATTGATTAATTGATACGAGTCCCAGCCTGAATTCTTTGTCCAGATGATTTTTTTTTTT